GAATTCATTCATCTCTATCATAAAAAAAGACTATTTTCAATCGATACGCTTAAATTTAATTGTGGAATAAAGTTGATTTTTTTCGCCATCAATATTTTTCATCTTTTAAACACAGTATTATTATGGAATTGTTCACAGTCTGTTAGTGATTTCATTGGAGTTTCCCTACTAACAAAAAAATAGCCGCTCGTTTCCACTCCCAACTAAGGCAGCTGAAAGATTTGATAATATGTGCAACGAGATCTTTTAACCATTTTTTTTGTTACTTACTCTTTGCTACAGTCACAACATTACACATATTCATAATTTTGTCTACGTACCTAACGAAAAACTAGTCATCTGCATTTCTGAAGGTGTTGAGTTTACATTGATTTGTTCATGGAGAAGCCTAAAAGGCAGTGTTTTTCCTAGTTTTAGTGATCATTGTGAATTTTTACGAGCACACATCCAAGAGTATAATGCACATATACTGTGTGGCGATATCGAAGAGTGAACTGCATCAAAAGAAACGTTTTAATATTTACATGAAGTTGCTTTCTTTTCAATCAAAGCAAATCGGCACGCGAAAAAAAAAGTCACTAGAATGAAGAATGTAAAAGTCAATAAAGACGTGACAAACAACACAAAACACCGTATACGAACAGAGGTAGAGGTATTCAAATTTCAAACAATTGCACTTCAAGATACATCGTCTAGAAATCTCGGCATTCAACGCAAAAACAACGCAATTCGCCAGCTGATCTTGTCCATGGAACCGACTCTAAAATCACTCTATGCTTGTTCAGAAATGAACAAAACGAACTGGTGAGCGAAACTGAAACGGATAACACTTCCACTCGTCAGCAAGAAATCTGCTCACTTTGTTCAGCGGCTTACGAATCGCATTGCGCGCTTGAGAGTAATAAACCAATAGCAAACAAACAGTCCATAAACCGTACCGTACTTATCCCTATAATACTGTACGCTTGACACAAGCCATGATTAAGTAGAGAGTGCAGTCCATTGGGGTTAATGTACACGACAGTCCGAAGGGGGTCATTTGAATGCTCATAAATCATACTTAGAGTGCACATTTGAGAATGCTGATAATAGTAATGATGCGCAAAATAACCGGATGATGATATAATAATAAACGAAAACAACCGTCATAGCCACACACAAACATTGATCACTGAACAAATATAAATTCATATCGAAGATATAGTAATGACAGCCACAAAACTGATGATTCTACAATAACAAACATGCACAACTGTTCAGTAATAGCAAACATAATTCAAAAAATAATAACGAAATTAATGATAATGCTAAGAATAGCAAATTTGGCGTTAATCATAACAAATCTATCGTATAACAATTGAAGAGCGTCTCATCTGCTGGAATTGATGACGTATGTTCTTTAAAATTAGACNAGTCGAACAAAACAAGTGAATTAGCGAGTTTGCTCTGATGAAAAAGAAGGAATCAAGATGTCTAGAACGGCATGTTTGAGGACTGGGTTTTCGAATTGAAGTAATGAGACTGAATATCAGAAAAACTCGATAGTTTCCGGCTTTCAACGGAATATTTTCGCGCATCTAGAATTTAAGCGAAATTTCGTACCTAAGAAACAACAGCTATTCAACTGAACTAACTCGCTTTCGATTGATTTCTAAGAAAGGATTACGTTTATTCGCTTATAAAACTCCAATGCTTGGCATATGGTGCTTCAGATTTCAGGTGATAATTTCAAGAAGACGGCAACAAAAGTTCAATTAAGAGATGCCAATAAAATTCACACTTGTTCAACTGATGGTCTGTTGAGTGGATACGTTTCTAACAGTGGCTTGCATACGTTTGCTCAACGCTGAACTGTCACAATACCAACTCATCAAGTCCTGTTCAACTGTTTCCAATGACGAAAATTTTGATTCTTCCTTTGGCCTGTAAGGAACATGCAGTGGTTTAAATTCCTTAAGATCGATAACAGTTATTCAGTATCAGTTAATAAAAGATAAATGATTTCCATGATGAAACTCACTTTTAGTCATTGAAACTTGAATTGTAATTGGAACTCAGACTGATATTGGAACTCTTATTGAATTGGAAAAAACCTTTAAAACTTTGAACTTTAAATTGGAACTTTATTGGAATTTAAACGTCAAAAATTCGGAACTTTTCAAGGCACTGAATCCATCCTTTTGTAGCAGAATGTTCTCCAAATCGCACGCAAACGAAGTCAGCAACTATTCATTGAAAATGATGCACACACACACACTTACATAGTTCGAGTCTATTGCTGAATCATTACTCGGTTATAACTGTCCAGTGGTCAAGTTAGATTCACCGTTGCTTTCAGTTCTACTTTTATCTCCTTCTCTGTCCCGAGCCTGCATTTGTCTCATTCGATTGCTAATCACCATAATGCTCGGTCTTGTGCGATCCTCAGGTTTCTCGACAGTATTCATCTTGGACGCATTCTCTTCGCTTTCCTCTATCACATCTTCTAGTCGATGAGCGACATCATTCGAGGTTGCATGGAACTCATTATGACTCGGGAAAACGAATGGTCCTTCCTTTGTTATTTCTGGCGACTCATCTGAAGATTATTCGAGAAATGTTTTGGTTATCAAGCACTAATTGAATATCTATGAGGCAAAAAGTGATTATCAAATGAACATCAATAAACGAATGTCAAACAATTAATGAACAGTAGATGAACAGCTAAATGATTAAGTGAACAGGATGGTATACTTAGTGCATTGAACTAAAGCACTCCGTTTCTTAGGAGCAAGCAAAGAACAGCAAAACTGATTTCGAAATGAATTTTAGTGCCATTACACCTATGAGACAAGCCGAGTTCATTTCAAGTTTGATTGAGTTGATTAAACGATTTCACTAGAATATCAACGTCAGTTATGGCTTGATTTAGAATTAAACCTCCATCTCGCGAGTGCACATCATCCTCGGTCGATGAGACTAAGTATCGAACACTAATGCTTTGTGACCTTGTCCAAAAGCAATTGTACACAGACGAACCTCCAACCACAACAGCAACATTTGTGCATGCTCCAGACTCGTTGACGATCGCTTCCATGGCACTCGACAAACTGCATCTGCGATCACGTGAACCGCGCTCCATCGCGTGAAGATTCAAATCACTTGAATGCTTGCGATGGTCGTCAGCAGCAGTATCCATTGATGCCGCATAATGCTCAGCAGTATGACTCATTGACCTGAAACAATCATAGCTCTACGAGGTGATCATCTGCGAATCAATAGTGCTCTATCTTCATTTCAGTAGTATCGCTCACCTCATGCCAAATCGTTTTTGGAATGATCGACGGAATAATCCGAATGGATGCGCTGAATTATGGCCTTCCTTCTCTTCATGAGGCAGTGGCATCATTTTCATTTGACGATCGTTTTCATGAAGCCTAAATTTGTTATCCTCGGTGAATCAACAGCAAAAATTTTGGTATTAATAATCGTTTCAACGATGACATAATATGACATAATATATGACTTCAAATAAATCCCTTTTGATTCCAATAGTAATATTTAAATCAGACGTTCTTGTTTCTGATTCCAATAGTCATGTTTCTTCTAACGCTTACCACTCATCTATTAGGTTCCTCCTGGTCCCTTCAAACCATCGTGGGCGCCTTATGGAATCATTGGATGCAGACAAATTGGATTCAACTATTACCAATTGTTTCATCAGTATAATTGGATTCAAGCAAGTCAAATTCAATCGGTGGAATTATGAAGAAGTACTTGTCAATTGCCATGCTCACTTTGTAGTTCGATGAGCTTGGAACACGAAATATCACAGGAGGTCTTAGTAATGTTTTAAGATCAGAAGTTATCTCTCCTCTATGTTCAAATTTTAAAATCACCGGAGTTGATTTGACTAAGAAGAGCCAGACTCACTTAATATTTGCTGCTGAACCGGTAATGCCGCTCATTGTATGCTCATCACGCACCGATTCCAGCGTGTAAAGAGGTTCAATCTTATCGTTCCAGAAGATATCCTTCATAACAGCAGGTGTTTTACCGTATCCTGCATCCACTATCGTAAGTCCGATCTGGAACGAAGATTGCATAAGCATAAATATTGACTGTTTGAATAGTCCAAAGACATGTCGCGTGGATAAAGGACTCATGGTTAGATGAACACTTTGCAGAAGAAGGAACCCTACCGTTAAATTTTTGTCGAGCAAAAAATTGCATTCGAAGTCGTCATCGTCCTCTCCGAAAGGATTCAACATCGCTTCAGCGACTTTCAGCCAGCCCATATAAAAGGTAAACTGCAGTACGGTCATCACTGGAAGGAATAAATCCATCTGAAATTTCGATACAACATTACTGAGTAGGCAGACAACTGTCTCTAACCAAACGCAACTTTGCTAACAACTAAATTACTTTCAACGTTCCCCCAACTTTTCAAAATCATCAATCGAATTTCAATCATTCCCCGAAAAAATTCAGTGAGGTCTCACTACGACTTTGAATAAGCAACAAAAAAGAAACTGAATGGTGTTAGTGTATGCATACAAGTGATTTATTGGCCGCATCATCACTGATAATGAATTGACGTGAAAGAAGACAAATTAGGAAGTATGTGTGAACAGCAAGAACGATGAGTTGTGGATACATTATCGGTAACGGTACCCAGTCGAAGTTGCACAAGATGGCCATATTGGTACGGAACAGCTTGATTTCCTGAAAAACTTCTTTCTGTTGCCATTGTCGAGAGCTGAAGATTTCCACTTTAGATGTGAACAGATATGAAACTGGAATCAAACATTCCATTGAAAATTTGGAACAGTTGCCATTCTCTCATCCAATGACTCAATATAGCAGTTTTTTGAATGCATGTATGAGCTTACTGAAACACGGCATTCTTAAATGGATTATTTCATTAGCGATCAGTGTGATCCATTGTGTGATCAAAGATGATTTTCATTTTCTGTGATCAAATCGTCTGGGTGCAGATATTTACATCCAAAAGGTTGTCTGCGGATATTCGGTTTGTGCCCACACTAAACTGTTCGATTCCTTTGAAACATTTATGGAAAATTTCGATGCAGATACGAAATCCCATTGGCAAACATTAGTTGTTTTCGTTCCAAATTCCGAATTAGGTTGTTAGATTTTTTGTTGCATTTCGCAGCAAATAATAAAAATGTTGAATTTTTCGTGCACACACACACAAAACCAGTGGAATAATATTCGTATGCACATGTCTATGTAAATAGTATTCATGAATAATAATCGTGATAATCATAATGCTAACAATAATTTCTTAAGAAGGGGATTTTCTGAAGAAATGACGCATTCTACTAACTGGAATTACCACCACAACGAAATGAATCGAAACACTTTCATTCATCAATTCAATGACTGCTTACGATTAGTTGAATATGAATCTCATACGAGTATGCATAACGTCAATAATGCTTGGAACAAATGCCTGTTCAGCAAATATTTGTGAAGAAATTGGCTTATTCAAGTTGACCTTTTGAGGAAATGGTGAAATTTATAGCAGCGCTTGATTGTAAACATTTTGGAAATTGATCATGCTCACCAGCAAATACTCATGCATTTCTTTCTCAAATACTCATGTGGGAAAACTATTCTCTTGTAACCCATCAACAAACACTTGCTCTTTGAGATACGATAAGTTTATAGGTTGTTAATCATTGCAATAAGACTGTCATCTTCATTCTTTTATAGTTTACGAAATTTTTCGGTATTTTTCGCCTCCGAGATGCCTATTCCAAGCAAAGCAAGAAAGTATCAAATACTCGCGCGACCAACTCCGAAGTGAGGAAGAAACTCAAATTCGCGGCGCTGATCTGCTGTTAGCTTCACTTTGCAGTTCTTTCGGAACTATATACATACCGTGTGTTTCCGTATGGCTGTCACAAATGTCTGGATCAAGGTGCTTTGATCGCGAGAGCGGCCATGACAAAACAAAGAAAACGAAAGCCTCATGGTTGGAAAATATTCTCACCTCACCAACTTTTTGCAGAATGATATCACTTGCAATTTTTTGCTGAGTTCTTGCCTCTTGACACAGTGCTAATGCCCACTGAAAAGGCATCCAGTATTTNGCGTATCTGTACTGAATCTGATCGAACAACTCTTTTTCATGTTCCATCATGAAACCTGTAAGTTGAATGCATGTAATCTTGATGTAGTTCTTGAGATACCAGTCAGTGATACCTCTCTACGCTAAACTGAGAAATATCCGAAAATGTTGGTACCAAAAGGTAACTGTCAACGCTAACAAACCTGCTGCAACAAGCGCATCAACAGTGGGAAATCGTTTCCGAACACGCATACTGATATCCCTGAAGACGAGTGCTTGTGATAGCACACAATATCGCACAATATTTCTTCGCTGCATCCGTGTTTTCTCATCAGTACCTCGAACGTACGCGGCCACCATTAAACCGATGCTGGAAACAGTTCGAATCCACTTTCTTAGAGCTTCATTCGCCGCTAAGCATATATTTCTTAATGAGATCATCGCATTGTGCTACCTATGAAGGCATAAATTTATCATTTATGATTTTCTCGTTTCCAAACAGAATCTGGTCCCTTACTCAAAACGATCTGTGATACGGTCGGTATCAAGTGAATGAACGATGTCTTCTAGGCAGCTGATTATCATTTACAACCACAGTGATGATTGCTCAGAGAAGACATTATTGGTGATTCTCTCGATAGGATGGCTGGCTCTGTTCAAAAGCATCAAAAAGGATCAAAAACGTGTGGAGAGGTAGCACATATTACGAAAGCACCAACGAACGAATACGGATGCGGTTGAAATGGAAAGGAAATGCTCTGATGACCAACTTGTCAATGTATCCGATATTGTTGAAGAAGTTAATCCATCGGTTCAGTACTGACGTAACGAAGAAACCGAGCATAAAATTTATCGGAATATATTCCAGTTTATCATCACAATAATGTACAAATTGCTCGAACGTTCTGCAATTGCCAAACAAAAATTCTAAAGAAACTCGCTATAACAAATCAACTGCAGTCTAATTTCAGTGATTTCTTTTGTGTACAAGAGTGGGAAACGAACATTGTTAATGCTTAAATCAGCGGAATATCTTACTAAATTGGGAATGGATTCTTGTCATCCATTGCTATCAGTGATGACTAAAACGCTGGATCGGTTTTTACGAAGTCATGCAAATGCATCAGATCGTCAAAGTAATCGACACTATTGCATAGTGTCGAAATGAATTTCAAAAATCATTTTTTTGTGCAACCTGATCTGATCGGTGGTTAGTGCGAGTCGATA